CACACACACACACACACACACACACACACACACACACACACACACACTTACAAATATGTGATTCTGGGTGAGTTTCATGTATTCTGGGTTCTACCTTTCCTCAGCTATAAAGTAAGGGAACTGAGATAAGCTGGTCTTAAGGTTACCTCCAGTGCTACATTTTAAATCTTATTTGTTATTTAAACTGATTAATTTATTCCAACATGGGTGGACCATTTGTGAATACATCTCAGAGATGGCTATAAATAGTATACTCATCAAAAACACCTCAAGACCTGGGCAGAAGGGACTGTTATTTTTTTAGCATCACATGCGTCCCACATGGAAGGGAAGGGATCAGAGTGACTGCTTTCTACATTCTTTATCAGTACCTATCTCAGTGCCTGGGACACAGTACAGTTAGTAAATGTTAGTATAAGTTGGGTAAAAATATCTTTAACAGTAAATTTAAATTAGCTAATTATTTATATTGCATATCTGGTTTTTAAAATGTTCTTAAATATCTAACAAGATCTTCACAACCATCTGAGCCAAGCACTCTCATTGTGCCTACAATATTGAAGAAATAAGGTTAAGAAAGGTAAGGATTTCCTCAGGTATCTCGGCCATTTCCTAGACATTGTTGACCCAAGTTTTTCTGGCTCCAAATTCTCGGCTCTCCCTCTGGCCCAGTCTTCCCTCAATGCAATTTGGCACTGGTTCAAGAGGCTCACTCACTCTTGTCTAGTCCAGTAAATCCTGTTGGCTGTGGGACACTTAAGGTCACGTGCCTTCTATGTTCCTTCGAAGTGCTAGTGAGCTTTGGGGAAAATCTAGAGAAGAGTGTGGAGGTCGGGCTACTGCCACGCCTCCACTTTCTACTATTCCCAGGGCAGAAATCAGAGCCTCTTGAGCACGCCTCTAGCTTGGGGGCCTTTTAGAAGCCAAAGGCCAGTACAGATGCCTCCTGACGCTCCCTGGGGCTCGCCAATCAAAGGACTCCCCCCCCCCCCCCCGTAAGCCTTTGGAAGACTCCAAGGCCCTTAGTGCAATGCTTTACTGTTACTTGACTTGAAAAAGGAGGAGCAGGGAGGAAATACTGTCCCCAGACAGATAAACTGGAAAGTATATAACCAAGTTAAGCAGATTTCTTCCCAGAGACGCTATGCACAATAAAATTCTGAGAGAGGGAAGAAACGTATCCTTCCCTAGATATTATCACTGGGCCCGACTCCCGTGTATTGTGTACTGTACTGATGAGGGAAATTCTTTTAAGAAAAAGTCCAACGTGCATTTCTTTTCTTCAGTCTGCAGTGTGTGTGTGTGTGTGTGTGTGTGTGTGTGTGAATGCACGATTGCCTGCTTGCATGTGTGGGCCTACATATGCGCTTGTGTGTCTGTGTGGATGTAGGTCAAATGTCTTCCTCTATGGCCCTCCACTTTAGATACTGAGGCAGGGTCTCTCACCGAACCCAGAGCTTGCCAGTTTTGACTGGTCTAGTTAGCCAACCTGCCTAGGGATCCCGCCTCTGCCTCCCGAGTGCTGGAATTACAAGCTCGTCCACCATACATGAGCTTTCGTGTGGGTTCTGGGAATCCAAACTCCAGTCCTCATGCTTACATGGCAAGTGCTTTTTCCCCTGAGCCATCCACTCCCAGTCACCACCTTGCTTTTTCTAAAAAATGGGACAAGTCAGGGTGGGGATACAGTTTGGTTGGTAAAGTATTTGTTGCGAGAGCATCAGGTCCTGAGTTGATCCCGGTGTGGATGCGTGTGGGCACCTGTAATCTCAGTGCTGGGGAGACAGAGACTGCTGGATCCAGGGAGCTTGCTGGGCAGGGGAGCTGGGAGTGAGCCCCAGGTTCAGTAGGAGGCCTGCCTCAAAAAATACGGTGGATTGGAGACACATGGAGACACGGCTCAGCCGTTTAGAGCACTTCCTCTTCTGCTAGAGGACCTGGTTTCAGTTCCCAGCACCCACATGGTGCTTCACAAACATCTTTAACTCTAGTTTCAAGGGGTTTGACATCCTTTTCTGGCCTCCGAGGACACCAGGCGTGATGTGGTGCATATCCATCCATGCATGTAAAGAAACACACATTGAATAAATACATTTTTTAAAAGATGGAAAAGAGGCTAAAGACATTGATCTCTGGCTTCTACACATGTGTACATATGCACACATACATGAACAAGTATGTAAGCAGACAATTACTAACCAAAAAATACAAATGAGTGAACAAGCTAATTTTCTTTAGAAGTTCCACTGCTTTGATTCCTTCACAGGGGTTTCATTAGCCCCTTTGTTTCTTTCTTTTTTGTGTGAGCATATATGCATATATGTATGTGTGTGAACATGTGTCTTACTTCTCTGTTGCTGTGATAAAACACATTAGATCGGATCCTAGCCTGGACAATCAGGTGCAGTTTCTCAGGAAAGCCGAGAAAGTTTGACTATTAGGTAACTAAGCAGAGAGTCTTCATTTTTACAGGCTGATACTGGCTTGTTGCTTTTGCATGTCTACATGTGTAGTATTTGTGCACATGTGTATGCATAATCGCATGTGTACAGGCACATGTGTGCATATGTGGGTGGAGGCCAGTGGTTCACAATGGGTGTCTTTCTCGGACATTCCTCACTTAATTTACTGCGGCAGGATCTCCTACTGAACCTGGAGCAGGCTAATTTGGTGAGTCTAGCCGGTCAGTTTGCTCCGTGGGTCCCCTGTCTCTCCCTGCCTGCCTGCCTGCCTGCCTGCCTGGGTTTTACATGAGTTCTGGCTTTTGAAATCCATTTTCACATTTGCACAGGAAGCCCTTTATCCACAGCCATCTCCCCAGCCCTGAGACACTGCTTTTTGAATCTGCACCCAAAAATAAATTGTGTGTGTGTGTGTGTGTGTGTGTGTGTGTGTGTGTTTAATAAGTCTTCAATTTCTGCTAAGCCTCGCAAATCAATGAGTCTGTCATTAAAGGGCTATGAAGCTCCACCTTCACCACCCGTGTCCAGGGCACCTGGTCCTCTCAGAAACATCGCTAATATCTCCTGCAGATGCCCCCAGGCTCGATGAAGCTGGCGCATTTAACTGTGTGATCTGAGGTGGATGGAAAACCCCAGGCACCATTCAGAACCCTTCTTCTAGGAATCTGCCTTGAAAAAAAAAAAAAAGCCCAAAGAGGCTGGCGTCTAATTCTTTCACGTGATGATGAGGGACAGTGTAGAGGCTGCCTCTCCACATGCTCTCCTCAGAGAGCCTGGCAGCCTTCTTCTGCAGTGAAGATCATGAGGCCAGCTGGCTCTGTCACGCTGTACTGCTAGCCCAGTGGGAAGTTACTGTGGGCTCGGGTCTGGGCCTGAGCTTCACAGGCTCTGAAATTCAATTTGTCAGTTCAGTGAGGAATAATAGAGCCGGGGTAGCAGAGTTACACTAACCAAACTTATGGAGTCGTATTTGAAAGGCAGGATGCCGGGGTGTGATTTTTGCAAGGGGCAGCAAACTGGACCAGATTTGTTCCTTCACTAGCTGGTCAATATGTTCTGGAGACTAAAGCGCAGGAGAGTTAGAGAGATGGGTCATGGAGGACAAGGCTCATCGTCATCGGGCTTGTCTGACAGCTGGTTTTTTCTGGTATCAGGTCACCCTCTTACTGTCTTTTCTTAGGTAAGAGTTGAGACATACCAGGTGCCTGCTGAGACTCTCTTTCCTGGGCCTCATTTAAACTGCTTTCTTCACGCTCTTTTTATTAATTTTGATTACATTTTGAAAGTTACGACTTACCTTGTATCGATTACCACTCATTGGCACCTAAACAAACCGAGACCTGTATTAGCGCTGCGCACTTGAAAGCATATGCTAATTTCAAAGCAGAGCAGGTTGCAGCCACATCATCCCTGGTGACTCTGAACATGGGAGTATTTCTGCCAAGCTTGTCCCTCACGTGGCAGCTCTGGGAGGAAGGTTCCTCAACACAACTAGCCAGCTGCCCCTGTCCCTTTGATGACATGGGACCAAAGGAACTCTTAGTAGGACATCAATTTCCTGCCCCCCAGGAGCAGCTGTCAAGCAGACAACCCAGCAGACAAGGTGCTCCTAGCAGGTTGTGTGAACAGAGCAGGCCTCTGTGACCCTTGAGGGAGGCAGGTTTCAGATCCACTCAC